GATAGATGCCCAGCCTGTCTATCTTAAGGTTGAACTTCAATTCCCTTTCCTATTCTTCTTCTGAACCAAAGACCACTACTTGCTATTCTGTCACATGAAATTAACATTCCCTTCCCTGCAATCATACTCCACTTATCTTTCAAGATTTGCTTCAGTATTATTCTCCCTGTGAAGTTCTCCTTGACTCTGCTCCACTTCAGACTGCCCCCAACCAATCCTGTTCCCTTGCCCAGGAAGAGTTTATCATTTTTGCCATTCTATAGTGTCATTTACTGAATATGCTATTTTGCAATTGCTGGGTCTATGTCCTCATACCATTATACACATTTTGAGGCCAGGGACTCTGGGGAAAAGAATGCAGGTTCCGCAGCTTGATCACATGAGTATAAAATCCAAGTGTTAGCATTTTTTACTATATCAACTTTTTCAAGTACTGAAATTGATGGGACTAGCTAGGAAAAATATTTCATAAGATTATAATGAGGGGCTGGGGTTGTGGCTTAGTGGTAAAGTGCTTGCCTGGCAAGTGCGAGGGCCTGGGTTTGATCCTCAGCACTACATAAAAATAAACAAATAAAATAAAGGCATTGTGTTCAACTACAACTAAAAAATAAATATTAAAAAAAGATTATAATGAGCAGTAAATGAAGCAGTAAATGAACCCAAGTGAGACACTTAGCATGAAGCACAGTCTCAATAAAAGCTAGCTAGTTTTATAAAACATATAGAATATAGCAACAAAGATTGATTAAGCATATTCTATGTGCCCTGTTCTCAAGATTTGCATGCATTATTTCTTATAAATCTACAACTTATTTTACTGATGAGGAAGCTTGGTTTCCAAGAAGGCAAGTACCTCTTGGATGCTTGTTTTATTAATCACATGTTTACTAAGGTTGCTATAACAGAACAGCATAGACTGGATAATCTAAACAATAGGAATTTATTTTCTCACAGTTGTGGAAGATGAAAGGTCAAAGCAAAACAGCCAATATGTAGTAGAACCAGGATTTGAACTGAGATTTAGATCCAAAACAGACTGCTTCTGTTTTGACATCTCCAAATGCCAATACTGAAGGCAGGGTAGGGTGCTCAATTAATATTTGTTAGATTATTTAGTCATTATAATTATATTAAATTTTAAAAATAATTTCTAAAATTTTATCTATTTAATTTTATTTAATGACATTTTAATCAATCAAATTGCTTAATTTAGAACTGTTTTCTTTTCAGGCCCAAGGAATTTTTTGCTAATTTTTCCCCCACTTTTGAGGACCTGTGATCACACAGATTGTGCCTGTTTCAGCTATTTATATTAAAAAGCTACCAGATTTTTCTTCCTTCCTTTCTTTTTTTTTTTAAAGACATTTAACTGGCAGACAAGACTTCAGATCAGTGAGAAAAGAATCTCAGTTGCCAAGCTGATTGATACACTGACTCAAAATTTATGTCAAAATATATCTTATAGATATATGAATAGGGAAAAACACTTACAGTCTTATATTAAATTCATTCAGCAAGTAATGCCAGATGTGGACACAGAAGTCAGTGGTTACCAGTGTACACATTTTTCTTCATTTTTTTTTTTTGAATGGAAGCATATATGTGTCAAAAAAGGGAGAATATTATTTATTTATTTATTTACTTAATTATTAGTATCTGGGATTGAACCCAGGGACTACTCTTAACCCTGAGCAATTCCCAGCCCCTTTTTTATTTTTTATTTTGAGACAGGGTTTTACTAAGTTGCTTAAGGCCTCCTTAAGGTGCTGAGGCTAGCTTAAAACTTGGGATTTTCCTTCCTCAGCCTCCCACGCTGCCGGGATTACGGGCATCTGCAACCACACCTGGCAAAAAGCAGAGTATTTTAAAAGATGGTAAAACCCATCTGATTTCTCTCACTCACACATATGAATGTAAGAACCCACATCAGATGCCCACTTGAAAGCTACTGCAGGTACAAAGAGTATTTGACATGATGTGCTAATCTTTCATCAGTTGTTTATTAATGGAAAGTCTTCACTGTATTGCATATGTTATTAGCCTTTCCTATAAAATGTTTTTCTTCATTTCAAATACAACCCCTAACTACATGAAGATTAATGACTAAAGTATTCTACCACTAAGTTACATCCTCAATCCTTTAAATTTTATTCTGAGTCAGGGTCTTGCTAAATTGTTGAGGCTGACCACGGACTCCCGATTCTCCTGCCCCATCCTCCAGAGTAGCTGGGATTACAGGGTGTGTACCACCATGCTTGGCCAACTAAAGTACTTAAAAAAAAAATAGAAGTTCACACCATTTGTATCTATCAAGCAAAGTCCATCATAGCGGCTTCTGTAGGGAATTAATTTAATTAACACAAACCTTATTTATATTACTTAGATGAACTTCAATGGTGCAGTATAGGGTCAAATCAGGCCACATGCTCATTTAGAGTTTTCTGGTACAATACTGCTCCATTTACACAAGAACTCTTAATGATTTTTAAATGTTTATTTAGTTCTAAAAATACCACATATTAAGGTGTGTTTTTCCTGCAAGATATGCCATCAAATGATGTTTTCCTCCATTAAATAAAGTTTAAAACAAAAGAGAAAAAATCTTTTTTTTTTTTAAATAATAATTTTCAAAAGTGATAACTTACCATAGTTACTTAGCCTTTCTAAAAATACTATATACTTTTCTGGGACATGCATAGGCCACATTAGACAAAAGATGTTTTTGAACATTCAGAATATATTAGAAATAATGTTTACTCTCATACAAGATAATAGTCATTTGAGGAACGAAGTTATAAACTAAAAAAAAAGATTTAAAAGTTTACTAGCAGATTTTTTAAATTATTAAGTTGCATTTTGCATAATATAATTTTTAAAGTTTGCCATTTTTTCTTTAAATCTTGCAGGAAATTGTTTTATAGTGTACATGTTTCTTCTGGAAAATGGTACTATTTATTATTAAGCACATTTTAATATATTTTAATATAAATGTAGAACTCATTTTTAAGATGAAATTAGGAATCGTTAGCGATTGTCATTAGTTGAGCAGTGTTCTAATGCATACCCTTTGCTCCCAAATGGCAGGTGCAATCTTTCACATTCAGGCAGCTCTTCTAGTATAATATGCTGCCCTCTCTGCTCCTTCCCTCAGTTCATTTCAGGGGAAGAGGGAGAATTTAATCCTCTGCATTTAAAAGAGGAGAGGGGCAGGAATAATGTGGTGCCTTCTTTCTCCTTTTTAGGGAGCAATTGCCTTGGCCCTCCAGGCTTCTTACCGCTCAGGGAGCTGTTCCCCGCCCCTTTTCAGCTTTTGACTGAGGGGCACCTCTGCCTTATCCGGAGGAGGAAACTCACTTGCAGTTAGAGATATGCCTCTTCCTGTTTTATTAGTTTAATCAGAAATAAGGGTGATATTTTGCACTCTAATCTGCCTTACTCTTTTTCCGTTCTCAACTGATTCAGACTTGGGTAGTGAAAAGGGTACTTTTAACCAAGCTCTTTCAAACCTTAGTGAAAAGGCACACTTTACTCCTGTTATCCATTGCAGTCTGCCAAAACGGCGATTTCTCCCCTATCAATACATGTGAGGGAAATAAGACAAAGGTGATTAAATAATTTGTGTAATTAAGCATGTCTTTCATGTTCAAAGCAAGTCAATTAAAGTTGGATTAAACTGTCCCCTTCAAAGCTGGGAGGGGGGAACAAGCCATATATTTCCTACAGAGGAGAGTTTTATATTTCTACTTGTCCACACATCTATGTAAATATACAAAACATATATACATAAGTGTGGTGTGTGTATATAGAAATATATATATATAATTTTATTCAAAGAATCCTTACTTTTTGTATTCTTCTATTCAAAAGAAAATAGAAAAACCAAAACTGCATGCACTGATTTCCCATTATCTTTGTGGAACTGACATTGGACAGTATTAACACTTGTTCTAATACCCAAATTATTTACATATGAGACTGTTCTTCTCTTATATATTTAAAATATGCCACAGTTTCATGCAAATATTCAGAAAAAGTCATATATTTGCAAAATTTTCAAATGACAGAAGTAGGGGCACCAAACTGTGACAGTTCTTCATTTGGGTTGTCATTTAAAGAGATATAATATTTTTTGAACACTCTCACACATATTTAAAAAGAGGTAAAGAATCCACTCCTAAAAAAAACACAGATGTTGCAATGTCAAGTAGCTGGTTCTAATAAAGAACTCACTACATAGGAAATCAATACAAGATAAACAGCTTTTTTTCTAGTTACTAGAACACCTACTCTACTGCTTTTTAAAACAAACAGTATCAGCATTTTTAGTGTTATTTTTGCTGGCTTATATTAAATGCAGGCAATTTCTTCATAAGCTAAAAACAGAATATAAAGGTGAGCAACATGAACTCAGGATAAATAGTTCATGAGTTTAAAGATATTTGCAAAGCTTGTTTCTCAAACACAACTATTACACTGTTATGTATTAGAAGGCACAGGATAGACATTTGTTGGTAGCATTCTATGCTAACAGCCACTAAACTGGAGTTCTTAATGTCATACATAAAATAAAATTTTTTGCACTTCTACAATTTGAGCCATGGCACTTTAAATGAAACAAGAGATATATTTTTAATCACATCATTTTAACTTCACTTATCCTATCAATTTCTTTTTCTTTTTCTTTTCTTTTCTTTTTGCATAATACAATGAAGTGGTGTGAATCTTTATGTAGAGATAAATTCTGTTCTCATCCTTATCCTAGTTACAGAGGAATATCAACTTCTGGTTTTTGTCAAATGAGCTTCTATTTACAAAGATGTAAATGCATGGGACTCTCTGTGATTTTGGAATGTGCACCAAATACTGACTGCTAACAGTTATGAATATTTATCAGTTGGTGTTATTAAAAAGGCAATTTTTTTCCGTTCTCAAGTTTTTGAGTAAACAATTTCAAAATGTTACTCCATCTGTCAATGTTTTCTGAAAACAGAACAAACCTTCTTTTTTATCTTCTGGAGTAATCTTCACTTTTGTATCTGTTATATCTTTGAATGAGGCCAGAAAAAGTACCACATCTCCTTTCTCATTCTTTATAGGAACGATGTCCAGTAGGCACCAAAACGGAGACCCTGTAATGATAATAAGAATATAAATCAGCCATTGCCTCCTGTTTTTCCTATTAAAAAAATTAATAAAAATAAAGCCCTTACAGTTTTTTTTTTATCCCATAACTCTCTCCCAACTTAAAGTGTCAGTTTTCAGATTCTGTAACTATGTAGCCTAATGCATATCTCTTCATTCCCAAATGAAATGCTTTCCTGTATTCTGAACAAGAACATTCGTTTGAGCTGAGACATTTCTGCTTACAGCATTCAAGTTGTACTTCTTCTTGGAGCTCGATGATATTGAAGCATTCCCCTGTAGTAGAGGCTGCCCCCTCCAACCCCACTTGCACACAGCGGTTCTTAAATGAAGACCTTTGTTTGGTGTGAGTTTGCTAGAGGTTTCTTTGGTCAATTTAAAAATCAATGATCACCCACTAGAATGACTAAATTAAAAAAAGATGAAAAATACCAACTTTGGGAGGATGCAGAGCCACTTGAACTTTCATACATTGCTGGCTGGCTTCATATGAACATCTGTTTTAAACACCGTTTTGCAGTGCAAAGATTTATTATCATAATATAACATTATATGTCAATGTGAATGGATGATTTATAATTATCCACAACTCAATGGATGAATATCACTAGCATAATGTGCAAAAGTAACCAAACTCAAATGAGTAGGATGAAATATGAATTCATTTACATTAAGCACAAAAACAGACAAAACTAACCAATGGTGTTGAAAGTCAAGATTAGTGGTTATCTCTGAGGAAAGGTCAATTTCAGATCAATTTCACATTTGAAAAAAAAAAAAACATGAGGAATATCATTAAGACTCAAGTTCAATATATGACAGCCAAACAGTCTTGCCTAAGGCTTATATTTTTAAATATTTTATCTATTTTAAAATATGTATTTTAAAACTATGTAAAATTTCTTGAACTTTAAGTCCTACTGAAAAGGCTTTCTGCACAGAAATATCTGAAAATGATGGAATATTTGTTGCTTAATTAAAAAACTGTATGCTGGGCATGGTGGCATACACCTGTAATCCCAGTGGCTCAGGAGGCTGAGACAGGAGGATCGCAAGTTCAAGACCAGTCTCAGTAACTTAACAAGGCTCTAAAAAATTTAGTGAAACATTGTCTCAAAATAAAAAATCAAAAGGGGTTGGGGATATGGCTCAGTGGTTAAGTGTCCCTGAGGTCAATCCTAAGTATAAAAAGTAAATAAATAAATTTTTATTTTATTTTATTTTTTAATTTGTTTTAATTAGTTGCATATGACAGTACAATGATCTTGACATATCATACATTTGAATCACATGGGATACAATATCTCATTTTTCTGAGTATACAGGTTGCAGAATCACATTGGTCATGCATTCACATATATACACACAGTAATAATAATGTCTGTTTCATTCTACTATCCTTACTATCTCCCCAAGCCCTCTCCTCCCCTCCCATCACTTCTCTCTACCTAATCTAAGGTAGTGCTATTCTTTTTTTTTTCTCACATCTTCATACATATATTTTGTATAACAATGAGGGTCTCCTTCCACCATCCATGAAATTCCCTTTCTCCCCAAATTTTAAACTGTGGATCTCTATTCATCTATTCACAGATAATTTTCCTTCATTTCTATGATGGAAAAATAAATACTTCAATACAGTAAATTTGGGCTAGGGATGTGGCTCAAGCGGTAGCGCGCTCGCCTGGCATACGTGCGGCCCGGGTTCGATCCTCAGCACCACATACCAACAAAGATGTTGTGTCCGCCGAGAACTAAAAAATAAATATTAAAAAAAAAATTCTCTCTCTCTCTCTCTCTCCTCTCTCACTCTCTCTTAAAAAAAAATACAGTGAATTTCCACTTATTTGGGAGTTGACTTCAAAATCAAGGTAGAAGTTAAAAAATAAGAGTCAGAAATAGTTTTGAAATTTTTGACTTATTTTGTATATAGTGTATTAGATTTCATGACTTTCACCATAGCCAATGTACCCATCCAGTCATGGGGTCTTTTTTTTCTTTAGTTGAGCACTATATGAATTCATTGACATATTTAGAGGTCATTTGATATAAAAATCATATTTTTATTGCAGCTGCCATTGTATTTCTTTAAAAGCATGGATGACTTCATATGCAATAAATGTGTATAGGATATGCTGCTATCATTAAGTATGCATGGAATATACCAAATACCATGAGGTGTGCATGGAATGTAATAAGGTACGCCTGCCTCCCCACACCTTCCTTATAGTTTCAGAGTCATTATTTCTTCCTTACTCTTTTGACTCAAACCTATGGTTTCCCTTTTCATTCATCTGTCCCCATATCCATGCCTGGGTGATCTCATTTCAACATTTCATCACCAGGCTCCAGGAAACCTTGGATCTAAGAGTGGCTCCAACACTAACAAGCCATGTGACTGTGAGGAAGTCAATTAATCTTTCTGGAAGTTGGTTCCCTCCATTGTAACATTCCCACATCCACATCTATTGTGGATAAAGTAACCCTAAAAATGTGGAGATGATAAATCAATTCTACTGTCTGTGACTAATGGAGAAACCTCATAAATGAGCCATATCCCTGAGCAAATGCTGTTCTCTCCATCATTCCAGCATACACTTGTTTAAAATTCTATCTGTAGCTACCATTTCAAGCTGGGAGCCTTTTTCGCTAATGCTATAGCTATAGTAAGAAAAAATAAAATAAAAAATAAAAAGAGCCATCAGGTCAAACTAACAAGCAGATCCTAGAGAAAATAATAGTGGGAGGCAGAAAGTGGTCTGAATCTGATATTTGGTTCCCATTTTAAGGCATCTCTCTGTCAATTACCTTTGCAAGAATATGACCAACTCATAACAGAAGCTATTAATTTTCCTGAAAGTCTCTTTTATGGGTGCACTTAGTCAAGCTTCACTATTGTCTCCCCAGAGCCTTTGCCCGGATGCACCAATGTACTTTGGAAAGAAGCTAAAGCCCAAAAATGAGGTGAAACGCTGAAGAAATAGCTGCCAACGCAGCAATATTTTCTAATCATCTCTCTGCACACAGATCACTTCCTGTCATGTGCTGGGAGAGCAGAAAGTTTACTTTGAAATTTGTCTTTTAAATTACTAGATGTGGATCTTAAGAAGGAAGCGTTGAGGATTCCAACATGGCGGCGGGCGCGGAGAGATCAAGTCTCTGACCTCTTCAGCTGTGCAGGCATAGGGAGTCGTAAACAGCCTAATTCTGTTTGTTGAGGATCACTAGGCAATGCTGAGCTGACGTGGATCTGGAACGAGCAGTCTGGGCCTCTCAGAACACACACTGAACCTG